ACCCCCACCTCTTCCCCCAGAGGGCTGAGAAGAAAGAAACGTTCGCTGTGTATCCCGGATGCGTCGCGCGTATACGTGTATCCCCGGCGCGCTTCGTTACGCGTTATTGTACAGACGCATCTCGCCGAAGCGCGCTTTCTTTTGTTGCTCGCTGAGAGTTCAGCCAGGGGGCCGCCGGCAAGAGAGAGACAGAGAGAAACAGAGAGACAGAGAAAGAGAGAGAGAACGCGGTGTTAAAAATAGAAAAAATAACGGCCGTCGTTGGATGGTGACGATAGAAATAGTAATATTACCTCCTCGGCTCGGCCTCCTCGCTGGACAGACGCGGACCAAAGGACGGATGTCCTCCTCCTCCTCCTCCTCTCGGTGTCGGCTCGCGAAGAGGGCTCGGTATCCCTCGTGACGCGCGTTCTCGCCTTCTCCTGGTCGTGCTCCGCTCTAGAGACACCACGCTTCGGCCAGACACGGCTCCACCCGAAGAGACGCGGCTTCGCCGAGGCCGTGGGTCGACGCGAAACCGTCGTTCGCCGCCATCGGCGAAAGCGGTTGCGTCGCGGGCTGTGTGCGCGATTCCGAGAAGTACAGCACGGCGAGGCTGCACATATCGAAAGGACGCGAAGGGAACGAGGCGTTCATGCGAGACGCGCGGAAACCGCCGACCCGCTCGCCCGTATTCGAGACGACACGCACCACCAGACGCCTCCGGACGGTCGCGAAACGTACACGAGAACGCGACGCGCGACGTCCGAGTTACGCGAGGATGCGTGTCAACACGGCGATGAGCTTCGTGTGCCGCCCTCTGCCACAATGCGCAACAACTACTTGAATATGTTGATGGCGGTTTATTCGCGAATTCAGCCGCCCGTAATCAGAACGCGCTTGCAACGATGTCAGCGCGGTAACAGGCTAAAAGATATGAGCGTTCTCAGTATTGTATTGTAAACGCGATAATAATAACGGTCTGTTAAGAAAAATCGAGAATTATGCGTTTTTATAACTAAATACTTATTCAGAACTGCTAACGAGTTGACTTGTTAGCGCGCTAACATCGTCGTAAGCGCGTTCAGAACACGGACCATCGTCGAGTAAAAACCCCAAAACCTCCAAAATCTGTGTTGGAGATTCGGACAGGATCGTTCCTTGGCTCGTTTCGTCCTAATTGGAAAATTGATCCTGATTGGAGGATTGGAGGATTGAAGAAAAATGTTGGTGACTCGCAATAGGTAAATAATAACAACGATCATTTGTTTACCATCGACGCGCAGCGCCGCAGCGGAGGCGATCATAAACGATTGGAGATTACATGTACTTCTCAATCAGTTACGACAATATTTAGATATTTCGATTCCTTATGAAATTTCGAATAAATGACTGAAAATGCTGGCATTTGCAATATTTTGTCCGCAAAATGTAATCTAAGTTTTCCCCGTGAATTTGTACAGTCAACAGCGGGAATGTTGAGACATTTTTCTCTTCGGTGAGTTTAGCAATTCGTACGTGTTCAATAGGAAGGAAGGAAAATTTGTTGTTTAGTAATTCTCAACTTTTCTAGTGCATACCGAATACATATGCATTAACTTATCGGAGGAAAATTGCAATTTCGCAATCATTTTGCCACTGACTATATCATAGACTATATTATAGATATATATAATAGATTCGGAGCTGCCGGTAATCTCCGCAATTTTGCATTTGCTATTGCACGACAGAACGAAAAGAATTTACGGAATATCTGAAATAATTTCTCAAAGCAAGCCGGCGACGTGTGTGGCAAGATCAAGTCAATTAAAATTTTCAAAAAAGAAGAGAAAAATAGACGAATTGATTCATTTATAATAAATTTAAATGAATAATTTCTTTATATAAGTTTGTTTAGAGGAATAGAGGGAGATAGTTCACATAAATTTTTCTAGTACACGGTTATGTTCGTAGCGGCTAAATCCACCCTTAAGACAAGCGAATCACTTTTGAGAGACGCCGGTTTGACGGTGCGCGGCTTATTTTTGGCAAAAGTCACCGGGAGTCCCTTGAGACAGACTACTTGATTCGGTGGTTTTGAAAAAAAAGCAGTCAGAAACAACCGGTCAGTTTTTATTTTCCAACCCTCTACCGAGGATCCCTTCATTGAAGCCGATCGCCAAATCCAGGTGTCCTCTGGATCCGCTACATGCTCGGAGA